TTTTGTTTGATATTTATTCAATAAAGTATTTAATTAGTGTTAAGTGTGAACTGGACCCTGTTGCTAAGCCCCAGCAAGCAATCATATCCTAGGTAGGGTTGAGCCCCCAGTAAAATTGCCATATTGCACATGTCTTAATGAAATGAAGTTTGAATGTTAAATAAATTGTATATTCACTTTACTGAGTTGCTTAAGGTTTTTTATTTATTGGATCACATTTAACAATTCTGAGTTAACTGCTGCATCACAGTTGCACAAAGGCTGATCAGCTGCAAATGTTCATCAGCACCATCAGCTAGGCATCTGTCCACCTCCTGAAAGTAAAAGAAAAATCAGTGATGTCAAGCAAAACTGCTCAGGTGCAAAGAAAACTGCCCAAGTCTGAAAGAATCTACTTACTGCAAGCTTTTCTGTAATAATGGACTTCTGTTTATCAGAAAGTCTCTCTCTCTCTACAACCATATCATGAAATTGATTTATAAACTGGGTGGCTGCATGGCCTTCATCTATCAAGTCCTGTAAGGTAAAAATTGATACTTGGTAAACTACCTCACAAAAGTAGGAGCAGTCTGGTATTTTTTGAGAATCTTATTAAACTGTACCTTGACCACAGCTTCTAGTCTGTCAAAAGAGCCACTCTGACATGCAGCAAATACTTCATTAATTATCTCAGCTGGTATTACCTAAATAACAATTTTAAAGTTAGTTTCTCGTCATTGCCTGTGTTACTTGATCTCTACATTAAGTGCATGGTCGTGAGTGGCCTTGGCCCATAGCTGTCCCCTGGAAGAACCATCTGCTGAAATTCATTGCTAGTGACAAACTAAATGGAGTGACTTTAGAACCGCAACCCTTTCTCCCAACTCTGGCTTCAAGAAACATTAGGAAACTAATTTTACCAGGCTAATGATCAGATCAACAAGATGAGCTGGCCCAGTGGACAGAAAGTGATGCTACCAAGCCAAAGTTGGGTTACTTTTAATCCGCGCCCCTCAGGCCTGTCTTAAGCTGTTTTTTGTTTAGGTCATATAGCTCTGGTGTACAAGTTGCCGTACTGCAGTCACTTGTGGTTGCTGTGAGGCTGGACACTAACACTGTCTCAAATGTGTTAATGGCTGGTTACCCAATGCGGTCTGAGTGGGGTGGAGCTCCCCAATGAAAACAAGCTTGGAAGGAGTGGCATCCACTTCCATAATAGCTTGCCTCCAGAAACCCAATGAACCTGGAGAAAGGATGAAAGACACCCAAGAATTGACTCCTTCACAGGGTCACTGAGTGGCAACTCGATGGCACTTAACAACAATGATGAGTACAGTACATACCTGACACATTTTTATGCATTAGGGTTTGCAAAGTTAAAAAACCACAAAAGGAATACCTAGTGCTTGCTCTTACCCCAGCAATATCTGTGATAACTTTGTCTGTGACCTCCTTTCCACCTGTTAAGCGGGTAGCACTTTGGAGAAATGTAATGGCTTTTCTTAAGTCTCCATCTGACACCTTAACAAGATAAGCTATTTCCTTAAGAAAGAGAAAATGTGTTAAATTGTGATAATTAAAGCTGCTTTTTTTACAGAAGTAAACTTTCAGTTAAGTCAATGGAGGAAAACATTTTGTTTCTAAGGAGAAACTGTAAAGGCAGATAAAGCAAAATTCTTGGAGGAAGAATACCTAAGCTAACTTCCATTAAATTTCAACAAAACCAGAATTTCATACCAAGTTAGTCCTTAGACTGAAATCTTGTATGGGACGTTACACAATTTTACACTGTATGAACTGGCCACTTGTTTAAATAATTTGAAATAGGCTAGTATTAAAATGACCCCATAGGGTTTCTGGTAGCAGGAGAATGGGGCAATTGAGATTTTAATATGTTAGGTGAGATAAAAAAAAAATAAAAACAACAGAGTAGTAACAGGCTGAAACTTCCAGAAATGTTGACATTACCTCATTGCTAATTTTGACATTTTCCTTCTCAGCAATTTCTAGTAATCGCTGCTGTTGAGTTTTATCAGATAGAGGTTTGAATCGAAACTTAGAACATCTAGAGGTTAGGGGTTCAATTATTCTGCAAAAGATTGAAAATATCAAGTCAGGGTAGGGTCTAAAGAAAAAAGTTTCCAGAACTTAATAAAATCAAGATTTGAATAGAAAAGATGCCATGAAAAAAACCTGTTCCCTAATTTGTTAGGTGCTGGAGACATGGATTTGACCCAGATATGGCCCTCCAACAGGTTTTCAGAGGCAGTGAATTATACAGGAGATTGCCCATTCTCCCATGTCAGCTACTGGATTTGAACAATGTGCCTTTGAGATTACAGTACAGCTTCTTAACCACTAGGCCACCAGAGCTACCTCTCTAATAGCAATTATTAAAATTAGGCTGCCTAACATGTTCTGAGCAATCTACATACCTACTGACGTAGTTACAGATAAGACAGAAACGAGTAGTTCTAGACTCTTTCTCCATGGTACGTCTTAAAGCGGCCTGAGCAGCTGAGGTCATAGAATCTGCTTCATCCAGAATCACAATCTTAAAAGGAGGACATGGCTTCCCACTGATTCAGAGAAACAAGGTAGTGGTGGTAAAAGCATTGCTAGTATATAATTCACAAATTATACATTTTACTTGTATACAATTAATTTTCTTAATAGTGTACTAACCATCACCACATCACAATTTTTAGAACATTTTCATGACTCCAAAAAGAAATCTATGTCCAGTAAAATTCACGGCTCTTTAAATTCTCCAGCCCTAGGCAAAATACCTGATCTACTCCCTGTCTACCATTTTGCCTATTCTGGATGTAATAATCCTTCTGTTTTGTAGATTATAGATTCAAGGCAGACACCACAAGTCAGTCATTTAGTTTTCTACCAGTTCTAAAGTGTGTTCTGATAGTTTAATCTAACAGTTTAATCTTGGAACTTGCCACCTAAGGAGTATACAAGTGCATCTCTTTATCTCAGGACATTTCTTTTATCATTATTAATAACCTCTTTCATTCTAAAGTTGTTTCAGTTTGTGTAAGAATGGATATAGTCACCCTAATAATGAAACACACAGTGAAGTTTTAAGTTGACTGAAAAGGAAGGTAAATAATTCTTTTCCAATGTAATTGCAAACATTAGAATTTTTTGGTATACTAACAGATTCATCCTGGAAAGGGTTAAACTGGGTTGCTCCTTGGAGGCAAGGATTCTGAGGCTCCGTCTAACTTACTTTGGACATGTTGTGAGGAGAGACCAGTCCTTGGAGAGGGACATCATGCTTGGGAGGGTGGAGGGACAGTGCAGGAGGGGAAGGCCCTCTATGAGGAGGATTCAGTGACTGGGATAATCGGGATGGGAGTGTCAGAGACAGTGCGACTGGCACAGGACAGAGCAGAGTTTAGGGCTGTTGTACATAGGGTCGCTATGAGTCACAAGCGACTCGATGGCACATAACAACACACAACATCAACTATCAAGTATTATTAATAAATGCTTCTTAAGAAAAATAACAGTAAAAGCTTTCATAGCTTTGCAACTTAAAATGGTACTTACAAAGGAAAATTTATTCCTGGGCTTAACTAATTCAGATAAAATAAAATTTAACAAAAATGTACCTGGAAATTTGGCACAAACTTAATGAAAACAAGTATATAATAGTGTGCCATGAAAAAGAAAAAACAAGTTTGCTTACTCTGAACGACTTCCTGACACAGTTAATTGAGCAAAATTCTTCACTTTCTCTCGAACTACTTGTATTCCACGTTCATCAGATGCATTTAACTCGAGAACTCTCAATCGAAAAAGCTCAGGCCTACGTAAAAATGAGACAAAACAGGGGACATTCTAGAGTAAAAAGTATTTGCACACTTTGTAGTATAAAAATCACCTAGTAAGCAATAAGGAGATAAGCGGTTATGTTAACATTTTTAACCTTTTTTTTCTATTTATTTTTTTTAAAAAGTATATTACAGTACAATATATACAATTTTAAATCCGTTTCCCACTTAGCATTGTATTGCAAGCATTTTACCTGGTCATCAAAATCATTGCAAGTATCATTTTAATAGCTGAGATGTAAAAAAAAAAAGTTGAGATGTTCCATCCTATGACTTCAACAATTTTTCAATTTCCTTAATATAGCTCCTTTATTGTTAATGTTAAAATACAATTTTAATATTTCAACTATTATATACCAATATATTAATATATACTACATATAATAAACATTTATAATGTAGTAATAAAATGTTACGTGCCATCAAACTGCCTGCTATTCATAGCGACCACACGTACAAGAGCCCTAAACCCTGCTCTATCCTGTGCTAACCTCACTGTATCTGACATACCTACTCCCACCACCCCAATCACTGAACTGATCCATCTCATCGAGGGTCTTCCTCTCTTGCGCTGGTCTCCACCCTTCCAAACATGATGTCCCTCTCCAAGGACTGGTCCCTCCTTGCAAGTATGTCAGATGAATCCTCAGAATCCTTGACTCCAAGGAGCAGCCCAGCTTCACTCTCTCCAGGACAAACCTGTTTGTTCTAACCATCCATAGTATATTCAACACTCTTCTCCAGCACCACAGCTCAAAGGCATCAATTCTCTTTCTCTCATCCCTAGTCACTGTCCAGCTCTATGATGCATTGTATGCAACTGCGAAGACTACAGCCCAGATCAGGTACACCTTAGTATCCAGCCTGATATTGTTGCTCTTCAATACTCTGGAGAGGTCCCTGACAGCTGACCTACCCAATGCAATTTGTCTCTTGATAATCCTGCCTGCTGGTACTGTGGAGCCAAGCAAATTAAGACTGTTAACTATCTCAATCTCTTTACCATCCATACTGATGCTGCCAATTGGCACAGTGGTGGAGCATCTTTGTTTTCTTGATGTTGAATTTCAATCCATATTGAAGGCTGCAATCCTTGACCTTCTGCAGCAAGTGCTTCAGGTCCTCCTCAGTTTCAGCAGGCAAGGTTGTGTCATCTGCATAAAGCAGGTTGTTGATGAATCTTTCACCAATTCTGATGTCACATTCCTTTTTGTACAGGTCCTGAATGATCTGTACAGATTGAAAAGGTATAGAGACAGAATACATCCTTGGTGGACACCCTTCCCAATTTTGAACCATGCAGTGTTTCCTTGCTCTGTTCTGATGACTGTCTCTTAGTCCAAGAATAGCTTTCGCATAAGCACAATCAAATGTTCTGGGATTCCCATTCTTCTCAGAGTCAGCCATAGCTTTGCTGTAATTCACACGGTCATAAGCCTTTGCATAGTCAATGATGCACAGCTAGACATTCCTCTGGTACTCTGCTTTGCCAAGACTTTTTTAACCTTAGCTATATCACTAGTACCACAGCCTCTTCTAAACCCAGACTGCATATCTGGCAGTTCTCTGTTGGCATGTTGCTTCAGTCCTTTTTTGATAATTTTCAACAGAAATCTTGCTTGCATGTGATATTAATGATACTGTTCGATAATTTCCGCCCTCTGTTGGGCCACCTTTTTTTTGGAATGGGAACAAATAATGATCTCTTCCAGTCAGTTATAATAAATATAATTTTAAAATTACTACAATTTGATACATATTTGATTTCTTTCTATAAGGCAGCTTGCTATAAAGAAAATTATTGAGTTAACAATTTTTGTTACTGTTTTAAAATCAAAGTAGCATATGCTTACTTACAGAAACAAAGTTAGAAATCAAAAGAAAGTTTAAAATGACTGGCACACCTAGCCAAACCTCTATTTAAAAAATTGCCTCTAATTATTTTTCTAATATATACAGGTTTTTCCTGCTACCTAAAAGTGAAGTGTTTGAGGAAACCTTTTGTAAGAAGTAACATTAATCCACATGGAAAAGAATTTTGAGTGTTCCTAGACCCTCACAATAACATACCAAATAACACATAAAAAAACCCCTCAGTTAACACTATATAATTCACAAATGGTCACAAACACAATTCAAAGCTTGATGCTGATATGCAGAAAGGAGTTTCTGGGGAAGAAATAACTCAGAGTGCATGCTGCCTCTTAAACAGTTTGCTGTAAAATAAGTGCTAGGTAGCTTTATCATCTTAAAAAAAATTAATTTTCAGTGAAAGTTTAAAATCACATTTGTTTTTCATGCATCCATCATTCATAAATATTTTCTTTTACATTAGTTAAAATTAACATAATATTGCCTTTTTTCTTAACTCAGCTTACGTATTATTTTCATTCTCTTCTCTCTCCCTTACAATTCCTGTTAATCACACAAGAATGATTCTATCCTTATGTAAACCTTCCCATAGTTTTGTATTATAGTGGTTTTATAGTCAAGTATCCAACAACAAATGAATAGCTAGCTAAAGACACTGGCATATTACACAATAGAATAATATGCATCACTAAAAAAAATGAGATAAATCTGTAAGACTTCCTATATTGTGGTACAGGGGAAAAAAGTTTGAACAATGAGGATTAGTCACTTAAGATACAGGCAAGGAAATTTATTGGGAGAGGAGCAATGAACTCATTAATAAGACAGTCTGAAAAAGAAGAAGAAGCCAACAGCTCTACCACTAACTTGAATTTTAATCTTTAGTGAAAGAAACAATGTCAGATCTTTTTAGTGTAGTCTTTTAGAGATGAAAAAGAAAATGCAAAAGAAAGATTTCACTTACCCAAAGAGTTCTCTAGCTGCTGCTAAAATAGTTGATGTTTTTCCAGTTCCAGGTGGCCCATAAAATAAAAGATTTGGGAGCTGTAGAATTTAAATTTTTTTAAAATAAATTGTATTCTGGTACAAACAGAAGAAAATCATGTTGTTGTTGTTGTTATGTGCCTTCAAGTTTCCTAATCAACAAAGTGCATCTATTTATCTGTCTTTGTGGTAAGGAGGTGTACTGACAACCCAAAGGGACATGGTTCAAACCCACCAGCTGCTCTGCAAGAAAATAACAGTCTTCTCCTGTGCAATTTACTGCCTTTGAAAACCTGATGGAGAGTCAGCTTTGGGTCAGGTCCACTTGATGACACCTAACAACCACCTATCTATACCTCAATACAAAGAATTCTTAATTGGTTTCATGCTATTATCAGTTCTACATCCTGTTTGCCTTCCTCCACCATAATGCTATCAATTTTCCCTCCAAATGCCTTTTCTTATTTCTTAAATTGAGTCCTTATTTAGGATTACAATGACACCAAATCCACTTACATAAAACAGAGACTAGAGACTGGTGGCTTAGTCTGGAGGGAGTTGTGCTAATTCAAAGGCAGTACTTCTTTGTTAGTTAGAATCTGCCAGTGACTCCAAGAGAGAAGGATGGGTACTCTCCTCCAGTGTGATTTACAGCCTCAGAAAACCCACTGGAGGACCAGCTGAGTCGGTTCTGACTTTGTAGCAAGAGTGAGTGAATATTACTGGTGAAGGGAACACCTTTTTCTAAGTTTTTCATTCCTTATCTTTGCTTAAGATTGGGGCATAGTTTCTATTTTATAGATGTTAATTGCTTTAAGAGGGGAAATATACTGCCGTGTAACTGAATCTAACTAATATTGCAAAAAAGAGTGAAAAAGACATGTCAGGCTTTTCCAAACCCCCCCCCCCAAAAAAAAACCAAAACAACAATACCAGGAACAATGAAAATAAATGAAACTCTGTCAAGGGAGCTGTGGAAGCCTAGTGCTAAGAAGTTGCATAGCCAACCTTAGGGAATGTAGTCCAGCTTTTCCTTAAGAAAGATGGACAATATCCTCTCAAGCAATTTAAAGCATCTGAATATGTGTTGAAGGGTCAGCCGTGAGTCAGTTCTGACTTGATGGCAAACGACAATGACAGCACCTCAAGTGCTAGGCACCAGTGCAGGTAAGGATTACGGATCATGCAGGAAATCTTGTAAACTGGGAGAATTCATCAGAAAAAGAAAGAAGGAAAAGATTAAATGCTCCAGTGTCTTCTTTTATTTGGAAGCAGGAGTGGCATCCACTTCCTAAACAACATGCTTCCAGAAACTATGAACTTTGAGTAGAAGGGCTTCAGGCCCTTTGTTCATAGGGTCACTATTAGTCATGCTCAACTCAAAGGCAATCAACATCATCTTTTATACCTTGGTTTGTATTAAGGAGGAAACAAATCTGTAGTAAAGATTAAGAAGTCATTGCATTGAATGCTAATGAGTATATTCACAACTCTATTCTTCAGTATAACCTTTCACACAGGGGAATCATCACTGCACATAGAAAACTGCTATCCATTACTGGAGGGTCAGTTCCATGGACAGCTTGAATGCAGCACAGCCCAGCCCTGCCACACCCTCACAAGGCATGTCTGAGGCTACTCTTGCAGTCACTGGGCCAGTCCTCCTCAGGGAGATCCTTCCTCTTTTCCACTGACCTCCTACTTGACCAAGCATGATGTCTATCTTTAGAGACTGCACCCTCCTGATAACCTGTTGAAATGATAAGACACAAAGTCTTACTAGCATTCTGGCTTCTAAACTAACCCTCCCCACTCCCATTTAATCTGCTTGTTACTGAAAATGCACACTGGTTTTTCCATGCATGAAAAAAACTGAAGCAAGCTGTTTACCATGACCATAAGGACTTCCATGATCTGAGCCACCACCTCCTTCACCTTTTAGGCTCCGATTTACAGGTCTCTGGCCTGCATTTATGCTATCCTTATAAGCTGGGTACTGCATTTTATATTATACATCTTCTCTGCTTACCCAATTTAAAGTGAGCCTTCCTGTTGGTCTCTCATCACAGGAATTTCTTTTAATTTCTATTTAGTACTTACCTGAGGGTTTACTTGTAAAATGTATATCTACCTCACTAGGTGTCTGTTACAAGACCAAAAACTTGATTTGTCCTGAACATAACTACCTATCTAGTATCTAGTGTAGTCCTTACTTGCAAATAAATAAGCCAATACACGGACAAATTTGTTAATGAGAAGACAATTAACGTTACCTAGCTAACACAGAGGTTAAGAGAAAAATTATGAACTACATTACTTAAAAGAGAAAACAAAATAGCTCTAGGCCTAATACTTTTTAAGGCTCTAACTATGATTCTGATGTGTCAAACGAGTTAATGGCTGGTTACCCAATGAGGCCAGAGAGTAGGGTGGAGCTCCCCAATTAAAACAAGCTTGGAAGGAGGAGTGGCATCCACTTCCATTAATAGCTTGCCTCCAGAAACCCTGTGAACCTGGAGAGAGGATGAAAGGCACCCAAGTGTCAAGGATGCTCCTTCATAGGGTCGCTATGAGTTGTCTGTGATTCGATGGCACTTAACAACAACAACAACAATGATTCTGATTTGTGCATCCCTGAACATTTGTAAAGTTAAAGCAACTATTGTGTAGTATTTTAAATAAATTCCTTAATATATAGTGAAAGGAGGAGTGGCAGCCACTTCCGTAATAGCTTGCCTCCAGAAACCCTATGAGCCTGGAGAGAGGAAGAAAGGCACCCAAGCATTGAGGACTCTCCTTCATAGGGTCACTATGAGTCACCTGCGACTCGATGGCACTTAACAACAACAACAACAACAACAAATATATAGTAAAATTATTAAATCATGCAGGCTTAGTGTGAGCTCTTAAAACTGATTTCTGGGCAAGCTCTGGTGGCCTAGTGGCAAGAAACTGCACTCCAATCCCGGACGTGCATGGTTCAAATCCACCAGATGCTCTGCTGGAGAAGGAGGGACAATCTCCTCCTGTACCAGTCAGATCTGATTTGATGGTAAACATATAAAATAACAAAACCAAAAACAAAAAACTGATTTGTGAAAAGAATCCTCTTGTTCTAATTCTGCTGTGGTCATACACTAATGAGTAAGAACAAGGCCACAGCTAACCATCCAGTGGGTTTTGAGAGGCAGTAAATCGCATGCAAGGAGACTGCTCATCTTCCCCCAGCAGAGCAGTTGGTGGATTCAAATTCTGTGCCTTGGAGTTGGCAGCCCAGCTCCTGACATCTAGCCCACCAGAGCTCCCTATAATTCTACTAGTAGTCCCCAATTTATAAGAAACTTAAATTACATTGCAACCAACTGCATTCATGATCTTTTTAAACAATTCTTACCTATATCATATACTATTACTAAGCCTCAGTGCCTATTTTGCTGATGTTATAATTTTCTGATGTTCACTCACAATAATTAAAAGCAATGCTAACAAAAGGTAATAATAATGAAAAATAAAAACAAAACAAAACAAAAAGGTATTCAACTGACATCAGAACTGACTTACAACAGTGAGCCATCAAATGGAAACCTGTTTTAAGGTGCAGACTATTTGTATTTTATCAAAGAAAATGAAGGAAAGAATCCTTTTTCCTTTTTTGTTAGAGTTTGCCTGCCCTGTCCTGAGCCAGTCTCACTGACTCCTACACAAATACTTTTATTTTCAGGTCAATTCAAATCCTAAACTTGGGACAAAGTTATCCTTAAGGTTAATGGTAAGAACTCACCCAGAGGCCTGGTGGTTTGTTTCATTCATAGTGTTGTTAGATACTGTTGAGTCAGAACCAACCTAGAGCCGACCCTCCAGTGGGTTTTTAGAGGCAACACATCACACGTGAGGAGACTGCCCATCCTTTATTCACGAGTACCTGGCAGATTTGAACCATGCAACTTCAAGTTGGAAGCACAGCTCCTTACCACTAGGCCACAAGAGCACCCTGTTTATTTCACGGTCACTGCCAAAAAATCCCCTGTGCGATGCAATTACACTTGCAACACATGGGGCCCCCATGAACTAGAATCAACACAATGGCAAGTGACTGGCTGGTGGTCAGTGGGTTCTATACAACAAAGTCATATAGGAGTGAGTAGGAGATGCTCAATCAATATTTGCTGAGATAATTATTCACTGTACAAATAGTTTTCAGGGGCTTACTATATATTCAGCATAAAAAGTACTGGGAAGAGGGAACATAGAGCTAATAAACTGAATCAGAAGCTCTCAAACATAAGACACAATTTCCTACTCACATCGGCTCCTTCTAAGGACTTTTTCAGCACTGCAACCACTTCTTCTTGGAAAGCAACTTCATCTACACATTTTGGGCGACTGGGAAAAAAGAAAAAAAAATTATTTAGTATATTACAATAGTCACAGAACATGGCACCTGCTTAAATTATCAATGCCATTTTTTATATTGGTAATACAGAAGTGTTTCACAATAGTCAGTAGCTGGAAACTCCATTTGCATTTCCTGTATGCAAACCTAGAGTGTGAAGTATTTTTTTATTTCCTATGTAGTGGCACCATTCTGTCAGTTTGAATCCACCAGCTACTCTGCAGTAAAAAGATGGGCAGTCTCTTCCCATGTGATTAACAGACTCTGATACTTACAGGAGGGTCAGCTGAGCCTTTCCGAACTTAACAGGAAAGAGAATTTGAGATATTTCCATACAAAAAGATTTTACTTCACTACATCATAGGCGCCAACTGGCAAAAAGTGACTATTGTCTAGAAAATCTTTTTTAAGACCATGACCCTAAGCTTAGACAAGAATACTTTTTAGTAATCTCAGGTCGGTAGTTTTAAAATCAAAGATGCTCTCACAAATGCTTTTTAAATGCGAAAAAAGTAAAATTTAAATATCATTTAATGATCTGGTATCCCTCTCAATTAACACCCAAAAACCACTTATTCTGACTCACAGCCACCCTATCCTCCATTAAGTTACCGAGACAGGAACTCTTTTCTTTATATCTTTTGTTTTTTTTTTTTGTGGTGGGCTTTTTTTTTTTAATGTTGTTGTTGATCACCATTGAATCGGATCCGACTGGCACAGGAGGAGACTGTCCCTCCTTCTCCAGTAGAGCACCTGGTGGATTTGAAACACGTGCCTTCGGGATTGCAGCGCAGCTTCTTGCCACTAGGCCACCAGAGCTCCCTTGGAGGCAGGAATTCTTAAAGTGAAGAACTATCTTTTTTTCTCCATGGGAGCGGCTACCAACACTTAGTAATTATAAAAAGGGAATGAAAAGATAAATGTAGGAGATCTCCTTTGTTTTATAAAATTATTAATTACAAAGACCCAAAATAAAAAAAACCCCACTGTCTTCCAGTTAATTATAAAGATATCAGCTTCAACTGAAAAGGGTTTAAGAAAGCCCTTTAACCAAGATTTACAAGTTTTCCATATTACCTTTGAAATTGATGAATAAAAAAGTAAATATAATCTGAGTTCATGTACTACACAACAGTCAATCTGGATTCACAGCAACCCTCCATTGCATTTCAGGGCTGTAAATCTCAGCAGGAGGAGACTGGCCTTCTTTCTCCCTCAGGATTCGAACTGCTAACTTTTTGGTTAGCAGTAAAACACACTAAGCTACCAGAGCTCTTTGAACTTATATAATCCTATTCAAATACTTGGTTAAATTGTTTCATTTAATTTCTTCAGAGCTGTATTCCAGCTCCTAAAACTGTGCTTACTATAGAGAAAATTTGGTTCATCTTTCAACTCCAAGTCCCTATGATTTAAACAATGGAGTGAGAGTCAAGGACAACATTTAAGCAAAATAAATCATCCCCTAAATTTAAGTAAAACAACTGATCAAAAGTGATGGTTGTTTTTAGTTGCTATGGAGTCAGTCTTGAGTTTCGATGATTCATGCAGAGAGGATGAAACAGCACCACAGGGTTCTCGAGGCTGTGAATTTTGGGAAGCAGATTGCCAGGCCACCAAGGTTTCTCTGCAAGAACTGGACATTTTTACCAAGTTTTGCAGTCTGAAATTGACCAAACACACCATCAACATGCATTAATTGGTGATGCCTTTGAACTACGGTTCTCAAAAAAGTATACTGTATATCACTTGGACAGCAAATATTTATTCCCACTCCAAAAAAAGGTGACTTGACAAGTGTAGAAATTATCAAAATACTATACCAGAACACTTGATTGTGCTAATGAGAAACCTATTCTTGGACCAAGAGGCATTCGTGAGAACAAAGCAGGGAAACACTGCATGGTTCAAAATTGGGAAGGGCATACACAAGGGATGTGTCCTGTCTCCATACCTTTTTAACCTGTATGCAGAACAGATCATCTGGGAGGCTGGGCTCTATGAGGAGAGACGTGGGGTCAAGATTGGTGGAAGATCTATCAACAATCTACAATATGCAGATGACACAACCCTGCTTGCTGAAACTGAGGAGGACATGAAGCGCTTGCTGCAGAGTGGCAAGGACTGCAGCCTCCAATATGGATTGAGGCTCAATGTCAAGAAGACAAAGATTCTCACCAATGGGCCAACTGGCAGCATCAGGATGGATGGTGAAGAGACTGAGATTGTTTACAGCTTTAGTTTGCTTGGCTCCACAGTCAACACTCTTGGCACCAGTTGTTGTTGTTATGTGCCATCGAGTTCTTTGTGACTCATAGTGATCCTATAAGAGCCCTAAACGCCGTTCTATCCGGTGTCAACCTCGCTGTCTCAATCACACTCATTTGCACCACTCCACTCATAGACTTGATCCATCTCATCGAGGGTCTTCCTCTTCTGTGCCGTCCCACTAGTCTCCCAAACATGATGTCCCTCTCCAAGGACCAGTCCCTCCTTGCAACATGCCCAAAGTATGTCAGACGAAGCTTCAGAATCCTTGACTCCAGGGAACATTCTGGCTTCACCCTCTCCAGGACAAACCTGTTTGTTCTCCTAGCAGTCCATGGTATATTCAACACTCTTCTCCAGCACCACAACTCAAAGGCATCAATTCTCTATCATCCCTACTCACTGTCCAACTCTCTGATGCATAGCACGTAATTGCAAAGACTAGAGCCTGGATCAGGCACACCTTAGTCTCCAGCCTGATGTCGTTGCACTTCAGTACTCTTGAGAGGTCCCTCACAGCAAACTTTCCCAATGCAATTCATCTCCTGATTTAGCCAGGAAATTAAAAGACGTATTGCCATGGGAAAGTCTGCCGTTAGGGACCTCTCCAAAGTACTGAAGAGCAGTGGTGTCTCTCTGGAGACTAAGGTGCGTCTGATACAGGCCATGGTCTTTGCTATCACTTGTTATGCATCAGAGAGTTGGACAACGACTAAGGAGGATAGAAGGAGAACTGATGCCTTTGAGCTGTGGTGCTGGAGACTATTGAGGGAGCCATGGACTGCTAGGAAAACAAACAGATTCATCCTGGAAAGGGTTAAACCAGGCAGCTCCTTGGAGGCAAGGATTCTGAAGCTCTGTCTAACATACTTTGGAAATGTTGTAAGGAGGGACCGGTCCTTGGAGAGGGACATCATGCTTGGTAGGGTGGAGGGACAGTGCAGGAGAGGAAGGCCCTCTATGAGGTGGATTGATTCAGTGACTGGGGTAATTAGGATGGGTGTATTGGAGATGGTGTGATTGGCACAGGACAGAGCAGAGTTTAGGGCTGTTGTACATAGGGTCGCTATGAATCGCAAGTGAATCGACGGCACATAACAACAACATTACTAATTTTACACACTAGTAAAATCCTGCTGAAGATTATCCAGAAATAACTGGAACTATCAGAGAACTATCAGAAATACAAGCTGGGTTTAGACAAGGTTGTAGAACTAGAGACCATATCACCAATGTCGACAGAAAGCAGAGAATACCAGAGGAATGTCTATCTGTATTTCAATGACTGTGGAAAAGTATTTGACTCTGTGGATCACAACAATCTATGGCTAACTCTGAGAAGAATGGGAATATCAGAACATTTGATTGTGCTTATGTGAAACTTATACTTGGACCAGGAAGCAGTCCTCAAACAAAGCAGGGAAACAATGCACGGTTCAAAATCAAGAAAGAAGTGCGTCAGGGATGCATCCTGCCTCCATACCTTTTCAAGGTGCAGAACATATCATTTGGGAAGCAAGGCTTTATGAGGAGGAGCATGGCATCAAGATTGGAAGAAGACCCATCAACAACCTATAATATGCAAATGATACAACATTGCTTGCTGAAACTGAAGAAGACCTGAAGCACTTGCTGCAGAAGGTAAAGGACTATAGTCTTCAAAATGGGTTGAAGCTCAACATCAGGAAGACAAAGATCTTCACCATTCGCCAACGGGTAGTAGCACCATGATAGATGGAAAAGAGACTGAGGTTTTAACGGATCCACAAAGACACTTGCTACCAGAAGTCATGAAATCAAAAGATGAATTGCATTGGGAAAATCTGCTCTCAGGGATTTCTCAAGAGTGCTGAAAAGCAATGATGTCAGTCTAAAGAGTAAGGTGCACCTAATGCAGGCCATGGTCTTCACATTTACATGCTATGTATCGGAGAGCTGGACAATGACTAATGATGACAGAAGAATCAATGCCTTCGAACTGTGGTGCTGGAGAAGAGTTTTGAACATACCATGGACTGGCAAGAAAACAAATAGGTCTGTCTTTGAGAGGGTGAAACAAAGTTTCTTCTTGGAGGCTAGGATTCTGAAGCTTCATCTCACATACTATGGCCAGGAGGGACCGGTTCTTGGAAAAGGACATCATGCTTAGAAGGATGAAAGGACAGTGCAGGAGAGGAAGACTCCGGATGAAATGGATTGACAGACATTATAACAGGGACAATGGGGGTTGGTGTGTCTGAATTAGGAAGACTGGCTTAGGACGGTGCAGGTTTCAGAGCTGCTGTACACAGGGTCACTATGGGTCATAGATAACTCGACAGCACATAACACCAACAGCAACAACATGTCTTAGAGACAGTGCAGCCAGGGTACCTCTTGGAGGCAAAGATGGTAAAGCTTCATTTACTTTGGCCATGTTGACAGAAGAGGTTATTCCTTAGAGAGGGACAGCTTGGAAAGGTGGAGGGACAGCAAAGGAGAGGAAAACCCTCACTCAACCAGGTGGGCTGACAGAGACTGCAGCAATAGGCTTGAATATGTTAGAGATTGTGAGGATAGGGCAGGGCAGGGTTCAAATATGTTATTCACAGGGTCATTATGAGTCGTATTTGACTTGATGGCACCTAATAACATCATTGTAGGGAGCTCTGGTAGCCTAGTGGGTAAAGAGTTGTGCTGTCAATCCAAAAGCATGCAGTATGAATCCATCAGATGCTCTGTGGGAGAAAGATGGGCAGTTTCTTATGTGATTTAAAGCCTCTGAAAGTCCCCTGATGGGTCAGCTATGAGTGAGTTCTGACTCGATGGCACATGTAACAGCAATATCTTTTTAGAGCACTCTTGTGGCCTAGTAGTAAGGAGTTGCAATGCCAACTCAAAGACAGTTTGAATCCATCAGCTGCCTTGCAGGAGAAAGAAGGGGGATTTACTGCCTCTTAAAACTTGCTGGAGGGTCAGTTATAAGGTGGTTCCAACACGAAGCACAAAGTAACAACAACAGTATGCTTTTAAAAATATATAAACTGCATACACGTGGACCTTGCCTGATGGGATACACAGGAATCAGACTATTGAAAGAGATGGTGGAAAAGCTCAGTATTAGCAGTCAGAACAAGGCCAGCAGACAACCACAGAATAGAAGTCAATTAGTCATAAGTAAGTTCAAACTGAAGCTGAAGACAATGAAAACAAGTACAAAAGAATCAAAATAATGATTTTTAGTTATTTAAAAACTATCTCTGAAACAGATTTGAAGCGTTGAACACTAATGACCAAAGGCCAAAGAGAAGAGTCGTGGAGGTGACATCAAGAAATAACTTGAAGACAGAACCAAATGAATGTCAGAAGACTCTGAAACTTGTTCTTCAAAGTAGAAAAGCTAAAGTAAAAGGAAGAAATGATGAGAAGAGCTAAATAGATATTTCTAAGGGCAGCTCAAGAAGACAAGGCAAAAGTTTTGTTAAGATGAGAAAAGATCTATTGTTAGAAAACCAAAAGGGAAGAACATATTCACCATTTCTCAAGCTGACAGAAACGAAGAAGAAGAAAAAAATCCAAGCCTTGAATTGCAATATTGAAGGACTGTATGGGCAAAACAGTGAACAACAGCAAAAGAAGATAGAAGGAATATACAGTCACTATAGCAAAAAGAACTGGTGGACAATGAACTGTTTCAGAGAGCAGTGAACGATGAAGAACCAATGGAACGGAAAGAAGCAGTCCTAGCACTGAGGCATTGGCAAAAATAAGGCTCCGCACACTGACAGAGTATCAGTTGACGTGTTGCAGCAAACAGATGCAGCCCGAGACATGCTCACTAGCCTATGACAAGAAACGTGGAAGACAGCTAGCTACCTGGCCAATCAACTGGAAGAGATCTGTATCTCTGTCCATTCCAATATAAGGTGATCCGAAAGATTATAGAAAATATCAAATATTATTGATATTATACACAAGTAAAAATCTTGCTGAAGATTACTGAAAAATGGCTGGAGTAATACATCAACAAAGAGGTTTAAAAAACTCAAGCTGGTTTCGGAAGAGGCCATGGAACGACGGATATCCTTGCTGATGTTGATGGATCTTGATGGAAAGCAAAGAATATATGAAAAAACATTTACTTGTGTTTTATTGACTATGCAAAGGCATTCAACTGTGTGGATTATGGAGCATCAATAACATTAAGAATGGGAATCCCCAAACACTCAATTGTGCTCGTGAACACAGAACTTGTACATGCATCAAGAAGCATTCATTTGAACAGAACATATTGCTACATGGTTTAAAATCAGGAAAGGTGTGAATGAGGGTTGCAACTTTTCACCACAGTTACTGAGTCTGTATGTGCTGAGTAAATACTTTGAAGAACCTGATTGTATGAAGAGAATGTTGCATCAGGACTGGAAGAATACTTATTAACAACTCGTATTATGCGGATGACATAACCTTGCTTGCAGAAAGTGAAGATGACTTTAGCACTTTCTGAAGGAGACCAAAGAATGTAGCCTTCAATATGGATTTACATTCATATGCTGAGGAAATTATCTGAGAAGCTGGACTCTATGAAGAGGAATGTGCCATCAGGATTGGAGGGATAACCTACATTATGCAGATAACACAACCGTACTTGCTCAAAGTGATAAGGATATGAAGCAGTTGTTGCAGAGGATCAAGGAATGCAGCCTTCAGTATGGATTGCATCTCAATGCCAAGAAAACAAAGATCCTTACCATGGGACCAGTAGACAGTGTTATGACAGATGGAGAGGAGAGTGAAACTGTCAAAAGCTTCATCTTGCTTTGATCCACAATTAACACCCTTGGTACAAGCAGTCAGGAAATGAGACAAATTTCAATGGGAAAATCTGCAGCTAGGGATCTTTCCAAATTATTTGAGGAGCAGTGATGTTAGTTTGAGGACTAAGGTGTGTCTGACTCAGGACATGATCTTTATAATTTCTAGCTATGTATCCAAGACCTGGACAATGAATAACGATGATAGAAAAAGAATTGATGCCTCTGAGCTGTGGTGTTGAAGAAGAGCACTGAACATCTCATAGATGGCCAAGAGAATAAACAGTATGTCTTGGAGTGGGTGCAGGTGGCGTGTTTTTGGAGGCAAGAAGTATGAGGATGGTGCAGGACTGGGTTCAGATCTTTTGTTCAAAGGGTCATTATAAGTCATATTCAACTTGATGATACCTAACAACAACAATAATAAATTAAGAAAACAAAAATCCTTGCCACTGGACCAAAAAGCAATGTCATAAAAGATGAAGGAGAGACTGAAGTTGTCAATGTCATTTTATATCGATCTATTATCAACATCCATGGTAGCAGCAGTCAGGCAATCAAAAGACACTGGGTCAATCTGCTGTCGAGGAATTCGAAAGTGCTAATGAATAAGGATGTTAGTTTAATAATCAAGGTGCTTCATATACATGTCAAAGTTGTGATAAAAACGAAGACTGATGAAGAACTGATCGCCTGTGAATTGTGGGGCTTGCAAAGACCACACCATGGACTGCAAAAGAACCAACCAACCAATTTGTGTGTGAAAGTGGAGCTAGGATGCTCCTTAGAGACAAGGATGACGAGTGATATTTTGTCTCACATATTTTGGGTATGCTATCAGGAGAGGCGAAGGACAAGAAGACCCTCAATCAGGTGGATTGACACGGTGACTGAAGCAATGGTTTCTAAGAGTGTCACAATGGTCTCGAATCAATGGCACCTAACAACATCAGGAGAGGCCAGTTTCTGGAAAAATATATCATACTTGGAAAGATGGAAGGTCAGAAAAGTAAAACTATCAAAAGATGGACTGTCACAGGTACTCTAACTGTGGGCTTAATTATGCATGGCAGAGTCTGTGAGGACAGCAGATCAGGCAAGGTTTTGATGTGTCCTACATAGGGCTGCTATGAGTTGGAGCTGGCTTGGTGGCACCTAACATCAAAAGGTCTTCTGCGGTGCCTCTGGGTGAATTAAAACTGCAGAACTTTTGGCTAGGCTAGTAGTTTACACTATCTAACGACTACTTTGAAGTGGCTGGTGGGCACGTCTTCATGATTTCAGTAAAAGCACAAGTGTACTTACTATTTTTCCACCCACGGAATAGGCTTTGCTTTCTTGTTCTCGCCACTGCTTCCTGCAGTAGCAGCAACTCCTCGATCTTTGGTCAGTGCTGGTTTAGAACTGCCAGATGCACCTTTCAGAAATGCTTGCATGGTTACTTCACCCTGACCCATGGAAGACAGGAAAGGTTCGTTTGAAATAATTACGCCTGAAGACACACTTAACCTTATGCCAAGCATTCAATAATTACATACTAAATGAAAGCCATCACCCCATGACCATCTGAATATACTGTACTGAGGGCTATAACGACACAAAAGAGGACTAAGAACTTAGAATCTATACACCATGAGGAGTTTTAGAATCAAGATATATCTTATATCGGCACTCAAATACTATTAAGAGTTCTAAACTATTGGTGTAGATTCTGCTGTGTATATTCTGAATAACAATAAACTATATAAATACGGAAAAGCGTGAGGGATTTAAAATGCCTAAGAAATCCCATCCACAGCACACTCATGTCAACATTTTTCCAAGTAGGGGAAAAGTGATTTGTTAGGGACAGAATTATCATTAGATTGTGTGAAACTGCTAGCATCAATAGCAATTATATTTTGTTCATGCTGTTTCTCCTGATGCCTACAAGGTTGGTGGTTGTGTATCATCGAGACAGAACCAACTCACAGCTGACCCTCTGGTAGGTTTTAGGGGCCAGGGAGTTTGCCCATCCTTCTCCCGCACAGCTGGTGGATTCGAACCGTGAGCCTTTAAGATTGCAGTACGGTTTCTTGTCACTAGGCAGAAGCCCAGCAGAGCCCCCTAGAAAAGTGGTAGCCATTCCATAAGTATTCGAGTGGATGAATCACCATCTCAATTTCTTTGTTTATAAAATCAAAAAGGTAACAGATGTAAATCAATTAATTTTCCCCAAACACATAGTTCTGCGCGTGGCACATGGGTATACTGTTAACATGTGTAAACAGTCCAGAGTTTTTAACGTAATTATTGAATTACTCCATTCTTGGCACGGACTGCTAAACAATTACACAGTCCAATGCAAGACTCTGAACGACAATGTACTGCACAAGATGTGTTTGCAGACTTGGAATGGAAAGTGGGTAGCTTGGAGCGCGAAAGGCATCAAAGATGCATCAAGGAAGGAGGGACAGAGGAAAGCGAAGACAACCCTCCTTGCAACTTCTCCTCCCAGGTTACCTGCTATCTCACACTGCGCACGGGTAACACGAGCAGCACCCCAGGCCTCTCTGCAGCGAGGACACCGGATCGTTCCTGGGTTTTCTTGGCTATGGAAAGGAAAGAGCGGAGGCGAAATGTAAGTGCCTTCCCAATCTGAGACTAAAAGGCCCTGAGAGCTCGGAGACAGCAGAGAGCAAAAAGTTTACAGCCACCGCCTAAAACCGCGGCGTCAGTTCCCGCCACCGAACCAGAGGCGCTGGGCAAGGCGGGAATCCGAGGGCACGCAGCGCGCGCGCGCGCCACTTCCGGTCTGAGCGGAAGCTCAGCCTGCGCCCCTAGAGGCGGTCTTTAAGATTAGACAGTGTTATTTACCGACGCAGTTTTAAGCCGGTGCCGACCCACACATTCTTACGGGTACGGAGACTGTAACGAACATGCCTAACGCGGTGTATATAGAAATTCGCCTGCGGAGCTGGGACACTCGCGCGCGGTCATCTCGCGGCTGGACTCTCTTTTTTTACCGCGTTGCTCCGCGAACGCGGGCGGGAGACGCCTGAGACCCTTCAACAGCGATGGTGGGTGGGGCAGAGCGGGACCAGGGCTTTGGAAGGTCTCAGAGGAGACCGACTGCTCTTTCTTATGTGAGCTTGCTCATAACAATCTGTGAACTTCCTTTGTAGTCACGGGGCGTTATCACGGGCATGTCGATGGCCGCACGCCCTCCGCTCGCTCTGTCGCCAGAGGAGGGCAGCATGCGGATCCGGGTCTCCCTCTAGCTTCATGCGGTGCGCAACCTTGAGTATTTGAAGGGTGGAGCCACCGAGTTCTAAAGAAATGCTTTTCATCGTTCTTTTGAAAGCACATAGTTTTGCACCTTTCATGTCCGAAATTCTGCCGCTAAGCAGTGGTCAATTTTTAAAGCTACACCAAAAAATCTAGCAGTGCAAATACTCAATAAAAAGTAAAGGAAGGATTATAATACTTAACTCAGGATGCATGCACTCCTGGTACACCAAAAAATCTAGCAGTGCAAATACTCAATAAAAAGTAAAGGAAGGATTATAATACTTAACTCAGGATGCATGCACTCCTGGGTTCTAGGCAAGTGTTAGAAGTGGTCATGCCCCCCCCCCCGGTGAATTGATCCGAAATCCTATGCACGTCAGACCCTCTTCACATGCAACCTGCTTTGTACATACACCTTTATAACCCATAGGGTTAATCTAGGTGTTTTCCAAATAAAATTATTGGAAATTTTGTTTGGCGTGCACTCGTTAAATTCAGTTACTGGAGAGTTGATTTCTGGCTCATTGGGCTCTCTTGAGTTAGTAGAACTGCTTCATGGAATTCTTATGTATGTATGTATTTACTTACTCAGAGAACGCTGGAGGCCACTCACAACCAGCATGTGATGTAATCAGGGAGAGGGGACAACAGGACAGGGGACCTCATCAATCACCTCTGAGCAATCTTCCCTGGCTTGCTAGCTTTGAACCACTGAGAGAAAGAGAGGAAGGAGAGAGAGAGAAAGTGTGTGTGTGTGTGTGTGTGTGTGTGTGTGTGTGTGACTGTATGAGTGTGTGGCATTGGCTGGTTCAGCAGGCAGAATCCTACTGAGCAGGCTTTCTGGACAAAACCAAGGACATGAAACCAGAGCCAGGGCTTTGCTGAACAGACTCTGCCTTAAATGGAAATCAAATTAGGTCCATTATATCTTTAAGTGCATGTCACCCTGATCAAAATAAGAGAAGGGAATCTTAGATCTACTGGGTAGCCTTCCTTTTTGATGGCAAGAGGCACGCCATTTCCAAGCCAGCTTTTTAAAACTCTTGCTATCTATTACCTGTTATATTTGGATTTTGAACAGAATTAATGGAGTAGAAGCCTGTTTGATCTGGAAATTTTCTGTAGAGAGTCCAAAAGTTCAGAGTACCAAGTTCCTGAAGTTTTTAGTTTCCGTAACATCTCTTCCTTTAGTCTTTCATTACATTCTTCAATTCGTTTAGGTAATCTCATACAAGCTTCTCTTGCTTGATGTCCTGATGGATCCATTTTTTTTTAAATTTTGTTTTATTACTTTGCGTGTACCGTCAAATCGGGTCTGACTGGTAAAGGAAGAGATTGTCCCTCCTTTTCCAGCAGAGCATCTGGTGGATTTGAACTGCGTGCTTCTGGTATTGCAGTGCAGCGTCTTGCCACTAGGCCACCAGAGATCCCTTGATGGATCCATTTCTAATACAGATTTATAGTCTTCCAAGGCTTCATCCAGCTTATCTGTCTTCTCATACAACTATACTTGCTTTGCTGCAGTCACTGATAGCCATCTCTTTCTTCTGCTTTATCCTTGCTGCAGCTCTATTTGAAAACAATAGACCACTGTTTTTGGAAGCAGGCTGCGCACATTTGAATGGCCTGAATATAGGAACTTTTAGCTTCTACATAATCTTGCTTGAACTGTTCATTTCCCTCTTCCTTTAGTTGTGTGCTCTCTTCTGTTTCTCTTCACTGGGCATAGCCTTTTCTCGTTCTGTTAGATATTCTTTCTCTCATTCAGAGGAATTCATATCATTAGCTTTGTCTCCAACCTCATCCACTCCTGGCTCCTCCTCAAATGAGTCACTGCAATCATAAAAGCACTCTTCTTCTCCCTGGTCCTCCTGGGGATGAACTCCACAGGAGTTTCTTGACTGTAATTTTACCTGAGGAGTCCTAGTGGTGTTAAGCTGCTAACTGAAAGAACAGGGCTGGAATGCTGTACACTGGAGAAAGATAAGGCCTTCTGCCTTAAAGAGGAAGCTCTAGTGGCTTAGTTGTAAGGAGTTGCGCTGGCAACCTAAAGGTGGTGGTGGTGGTTATGAGCAATAGAGTCGTTTGTGACTTATAGCAACTCTATGTACAACAGCTCTGAACTCGGCTCTATCCTGGGCCAACCTCATCGCCTCAGACACCACCCACCCTCATTACCCCACTAACTGAGTAAATCCATATCATCGAGGGTCTTCCTCTCTTGCACTACCCCTCCACCCTCCCAAGCATGATGCCCTTCCCTAAGGACTGGTTCGTCCTTACAACACATCCAGAGTATGTCAGACGAAGCTCCAGAATCCTTTCCTCCGAGAAGCAGCTTGTTTCTCTAGGACGAACCTGTTTGTTCTCCCAGAAGTCCATAGTATATTCAACACTCTTCTCCAGCACCACAGCTCAAAGGCATCAATTCTATCATCCCTCATCATTGTCCTGCTTTCAGATGCATAGCAAGTAATTGTGAAAGCCATGGCCTGGATCAGGTGTACCTTAGTCTCCAAACTAACATCGTTGTTCTTCAGTACTCTGGAGAAGTCCCTGACAGCCAACTTGCCCAATGCAATTCATCTTCTGATTTCCTGGCTACTGGTACCAAGAGTGTTGATTGTGGAATCAAACAAACTGAAACTGTTAATAATCTCAACCTCTTAACCATTTATCATGATGCTGCCAATTAGCCCAATGGTGAGAATCTTGCTTTTCTTGATGTTGTTGAGCTTCAATCCATATTTAAGGCTGCAAGTGCTTCAGGTTCTCTTCTATTTCAGCAAGCAAGGTTGCGTCATCTGCATAAAGTAGGTTGTTGATGTGTCTTCCTCCAATCCTGATGCCACATTCCTCCTCATAGAGCCTAGCCTCCTGGATGATCTGTTCCACATGTAGATTGAAAAGGTATGGAGATAGGACACATCTCTGCAGTTTTAAACCATGCAGTATTTCCTTGCTCTGTTCAGACGCCCACCTCCTGGTCCAAGTATGGATTTCTCATAAGCACAATCAAGTGTTCTTCTCAGAGTCAGCCACAGTTTGTTGTGATCCCCACAGCCAAATGCCTTTGCATGGTCCATGAAACACAGATAGATAGTCCTCTGGTACTCTCTGCTTTCAACCCAAAGATAGATGCTTTAAATCCACCAGCTGCCCCTTGGGAAGG